GTGTGTGTGTGTGGCTGTAGTGTACAGTGCATTGAGTGGTTGAAAGACTTAAAAGGCGCTATAAATAAGTAGTACAAGGTCACATGACACATTAACCTTAAGAGTGACACTGATTACCAATCAATAACTGAGTTCCACAGGAAAAAGTGATCAATCACTTATCATATAAAAAAGTGATCAGTTATCATAAAGAATAATTGAACTGTCTCTGTCCTCAGAATAAGGAGAAGGGGCGTCTGAAGGAGCGGGAGAAAGAAGCGCGAGAGAGGGAGGCCAGGTCCAGCAATGGTCACCTGTTCACCTCCCTGACAGTGTCCTCCACCACCCTGTGCTCCTCCTGCAACAGGAGCATCACAGCCAAGGAGGCGCTCAGTTGCCCAGGTAACATACATACATAAACACTATATATATATATATATATATATATATATATAAATCTTTACTTCCTGCTTCTGTTTCACGCTGTTAATAAAACCTCTGATGTTAATCTCTCGCACACACATTATAAACTCTATGTGTTTCCATAGCAACAGAAAATAAGACTGTAAACAGTGTGTGTGTGTGTGTGTGTGACAGATGGTGTGTTAATCCTCCTTCACAATGAACAGATGTACTTCTTCAGATTAACACACACACATGTGTCTGTGTGTGTGTGACCTCATTGTCCTACATTGTGATTGGCTGCTGTCGATGAACCCTGAGAACTGGGTCAAGGGGACACATGTGTCTCTCTGGGTGTGTGTGTGTGTTTGTGTGTGTAATATGTGTATAACTAGTTTTCGGAAGTGATGCTAGCTTGTGATGCCACGGTGACTTCCTGTTTACATAGTAGATTGCTCCTGATTGGACAGAGCGACAGAGGTTTCCTAGCAACAGACTGACACATTATATTAAGTCTTCAGCAGCTGAGACATTTCTTAAAGGACCTGTGCCATCTAGTGGTGAAGTTGCAGATTGCAACCAACTGAATACTGCCCAGCCTTCAGTGTGTAGTAGAAACTACGGTGGCTGGGAAAGTCCCTATTTAGAGTCAGTGTTTGGTTTGTCCGTTCTGGGCTACTGTAGAAACATGGCGGACTCCACCAGAAGAGGAACCTCTGTAGAAAATGTCTCAAACAAAGGAAACAAAAACACAGAGATTCTTANNCTCTGTAGATAAAAACTGATTCTAAGGTAACGACAACACAAAGATTTATTGCTGAGTCGCAGTTAGAGAGCCGCTCTCTCTAACACCGACGAGCATCAAAGCTGAGTATTGACACGTCAGAACTCCTGCCTGATGTTTCATACCAGGAACCAATTAGCTTATTAGTTTGTTGACAGGATGTTTGGACCTGTTTCATTGATTATGACGTATTGATACAATCTGTTATTCAGCAGAATTATTGATCTGATTGTACGTGTAGATATAGAATCATAACTACCTGCTCCATATATCTCCTCCCCTGCATTAAACTAATAAATATTACGTTTGAACATGTTTCTGACCAGGTAGCTGTCATTCTGTCATTCTGTCTGTCTGTCTGTCTGTCTGTCTGTCTCTCAGCCTGTAATGTCACCATCCACAACCGCTGCAGAGACAGTCTGGCCAGCTGTGCCAAGATGAAACAGAGGGTAAGACCTGTCTAACTGTCTTCACTGATTACCTGTCTGTCTGTCTGTCTGTCTGTCTGTACTGACTACATGTATGTCTGTCTCTAACAGCAACAGAAGCTGTCGATGGTGAGAAACAGTTCGGCTCTGCAGAATGTCGCCATGCGCACCAAAAGTGAGTCAACATGTCTCTTTACCTACCTGTCTTTCTATCACATTGAAAAATTGGTTGTTGGTTCGATCCACGGCTCCCTCGTTGCGAGTTGAAGTGTCCTTGAGCAAGATACTGAAACTAAATTGTCGATGCTGCATCAGTGTGTGAAGTATGAATGATTAGTTTTCTGTTAGCAGTTGGCAGCCATCAGTGTGTGAGTGTGTGTGTGTGGCTGTAGTGTACAGCACATTGAGTGGTCGAGAGACTAGAAAGATATATAGGTACAGTCCATTTACCATTTATTTGTTGGTCTAAAGATTTTGATTTATGATCAGTCTGATTAATGAGCAATCTTTTCTTCTTCTCTGTGTTCAGCTCCGATGATGAAGGAGCGTCCCAGCTCCGCCATCTATCCCTCAGACAGCCTTCGTCAGTCTCTGCTCGGGTCCCGACGGGTTCGCTCTGGCCTCTCGCTCGCCAAGAGCGTCTCCACAAATAACATCGCAGGGTGAGACTGAACAACTCTAAAAGATGTTCAGGTTGTTGTCATCAGTTTGTAGTCAATGACACATCAGACACAGCTGTACAAGTTTAACTACAGAATACTTATCAGTCAGTTTTATATATGTATAAATGTTTATATGTATGTAGTTACATAGTTATAGCAGCAGAAACATGAACACATCAGTCTAAATCTTAAGTTGAAGTTACACTAACTTCACAAGACTCACAAAACATACATTTATCTTTCCTATCAGAAATACTTTATTACCTCACCGTACTGTTTATAACTTTACTGTAACTTCATTCAGCGTGGTCAGAAACAGAATAAAACTCATTAAAACCGTCTCTGTTAGTGTTTCCAACAATTACCAACTCTGGTTTGGTGGAAATAAATCCTTAATTCACTGACGTAGATGATTAAAAAAGCAGTTTCAGTCGGCACGGCAGAACCGGTTATGGAAAACCCACAGAGAGGACTAGCGATAACACACAGGCAGAGGGAGTGACACCATGTGACCAATCTGTAGATCTTTCATATTAGAAGCCGAGAAACTCATAATGTTAATATCTCAGCATATAAAACCTTTGTCTCTCTCTCCACCTGCCTGTCTGTCTCTCTCAGTGTGAGTGAGGACTCTGTAGGTCTCAGGAGGATTCTGTCTCAGTCCACTGAATCTTTGAACTTCAGGAGCAGGACTTTGTCCATGGAGTCTCTGACTGATGACGGTTTGTTAATACATTTTATATCAAAGTCATCAATAATCAATCCATAATGTCTCATCATAGATTGTGGATCAGTATAGTAGAATAATAATTCCTTCATATTTTAGTCGACTTATTATATTAATTAAACAGTTTTTGGATTTTAGTCCTCCAATGCAGCTGATCTCATGTGACCTCAGAAAATAAATAATAAAGTCATACGTGTTGTATGTTGTATGTTGTGTTGTATGTTGTGTTGTATGTTGTGCTGTATGTTGTATGTTGTGTTGTGCTATATGTTGTGTGTTGTGTTGTGCTATATATTGTGTTGTATGTTGTATGTTGTATGTTGTGTTGTGTGTTGTGTTGTATGTTGTGTTGTATGTTATGTTGTATGTTGTATTTTGTGTTGTATGTTGTGTTGTATGTTGTATGTTGTGCTGTGTGTTGTATGTTGTGCTGTGTGTTGTGCTGTATGTTGTATGTTGTGTGTTGTGTTGTCTGTGTGGTGTTGTCCTGTGTGTCTGTGTTGTGTGTTTGGTGTGTCTGTGTGTCCTGTGTTGTTGTCCTACCCTGACGTTTTTGAAGAAAACCTGCCAAGCTCCTCTTTTAAAGTGAACCTCCAAATTTAATTCTCGGGCTGATGTTAAACAATCCTGGAGAAGAATTAAACAAAGCTGTATTTTTACCCAAGTAAGTACGCTTTGGTGCTGTAATTCGTTTTTACACTGAGAGAACTCGTGAGTTTACACCTCCGAATGAAAACACAGTCTGAGATTGAACAGCAGCCGCTCGCCACCTTACCACATGCTAAAACCCGGACTTCACTTTTGGGCTTGTCTTGCTCTAGTCTGGATGCAAATGACTTCCCTTCAGCCCTGCAACCGATGTTGACGCCGATGCCTCAAGAGACACTCGTGGCC